TAGGTGTTTTTGAACTTCTCTAGCTCTCAGGAGGGGAGTGATGAGGAATGCACCATGCATATCTGCAGCAGACACTTTTGGGTGACTAACTGAATAGCTGTTCCCAACCCTTTCTCCCTTCCCTGCTTCTAATCTAGAAGAGGCTGGAAAAATGCAACACCCCCTCTGTAGGCCTCTTTCGAGTTAACGGATGATAATGTGACCAAATTCTGGCTTACGAGACAGAGGGAAGTCTATTGGGGTGCTTCTAGAAAGCCTTTTATTTTCCTGAGGGAACAAACAAGCGTAAGAGAGAGCAAGTCACTGGCACTGTCTCTCCCTTGCTCCTGGATTCCATGCAGACTTGATGCCTAGACCCGTGGGACAGTGTGCTGGCTTTGTACTGTGTTGGTCCAGCTAAGCAGCATCTGTTATCCAGAATCCTCCCATAGTTCCAGGTTAGCATTGGCCACAAGGGAAATGTCGCATGAGATCTGGGAGGCAGCAGCTAAGCAGCAGCCATGGTTTTTATGCTCTGAAGGACAACACAGGGCATGAGGAACATTGGCAATTCTCACACACTGCCGCTGACCTGCTGCCTCACCTTGTTGGCATGGGGCAGCAGAAAGACTCACGGTTCCTCCTGCTCCCACCGGATCTCCTCCTATGGCTTCTTCAAGCCCTAAGCCAAGTGCATCTGTAGCTCAGTAAAGGGTATCAGCATGTTTTGCAGGACACCTCATTATTGAGGCTGGAGGTAGTGACAGACACATGCAGATCCAGTTTGTTCTAAAGGACTTCAGTCGTTCATGAATTTCAGTTTGTTCTCACAGATTCCAATCTGTTCTTGCTATCATCCCACATCCAACTTTCCACCTTGACTGCCATCCTGGGTGACCTATAGTGACTTCAGACTCAACTTTAGAACCAAAGACAACAAACATCCATGCCAGGACTCCTCCACCAGCTCTCACATCCTGCAAGCTCTAAGGCAGCACTGTCCAGCAGAACTTTCTGTGATTATGGAAGTGTTTTATACCTGAGCTGCCGCATATGATAGCCACGAGTCTCACGGGCTACTAAGCATTTGAAACATACCTAGTGCGGCAGAGGAGCTAACTTGTTACTCTGATTTAATGTGAATTAATTTAAATTTAAATAACCGGATGTGGCTAGTGGCTACAATATTGGACAATGTAGGCCTAGTGCATTTTTTAAATCACTTGTAGTGGCTTTGTTTCTCTGATTGAATCCTGACTGATACAGGCAGCAGCTGCTAGTTACATGGGGAGAGCATGGAGACACAAAGCCAGCATACTAGGAATCACAGGGCTGGAGAAGAAGCAGCCTGCGTCCTGGAAGTTCAACCAGCCTGTAATCTTTGAACTTCTTAGATGAGAAAAAAAAAATAGACCCCCAGTGGGCAGTGAACTCTCACCTTGTACTTCCAATAAATCCTGTCTCTTTTCTTGGTGGCTTCTTCCTGCAGTGAAGTGGTATAGACCTTGTCTAGAATACCACAGGACACAGACGGTGATCTTAGAACTCAATTTGAAAAAAATGTGTTTATGCATGCATAGGAATCATAAAATATAAATTTAAACTCATCTTTTGAAAGAAGAAAGTAACGTCAATAGAACTATTAACAAGAATTAATGTTAGCTTTCTGACCAAGCAACTCTCTTTTCCTTTATGTTTATCTTTGCTTTCTCTTGAAGAATGACCTATAGGAAGTAACCCACCTTCTGCAGTCCTTTGAGTTCATGGATACATAAATGAACACTATAAACTTTAGACTTTAAGAAGTGGGTATTAGTCAGAGTTTGCCAGAAACACAGAACCAGAAGGATGAATATATATAAAGATATTTATTATAAAGTATCGACTCTTTCAATTACGGAGGCCGAGAAGTCCCATAATCTGTCATGTACAAGCTGGAGACCCAGTAAAGCTGGTGAAAGAGTTTGAAGGTCTAGAGCTGAAGAGCCAAGGGTGTAGATTCCAGTCCTGGTCTAAAGGCCTGAAAACCATGAGTGCCAACAGCAGGAGAACAATGTCCCAACTCATGCAGTGAGGCAGAGAGTGAATTCAACCTTCCCCCACTTTTTTAGTTCTATTCAATCCCTAATGGATTGGATGAAGCCCACCAACACTGAGGAGGGCATGTGCTTCACTCAGTCCACCAACTCAAACACCAATCTCCTCCAGGAACACTTTCACAGACATACTCTGCCATAATGTTTAACCAACTACCTGGGCATCCCATGGCCTAGTCAAGTCAACACATAAAATTAACCACCATAGTGTTCTCCACATACAATGGCCTCACAAACAGGAACTAAACAATTAGCAAAGCTTCATGGCTCAGTTCCAGAATTGAGGGTGTTAATCTGTTTTCTGTTAAGAAACTCTAGGCTCTATGTGAACTGAAACTATATCAAGATGCTGACACTAAAATTAGAAATGGGAAGAAGTAGGTTTTAAACCATAAAATTAATTGGGGGTAACTGACAAGCAAGATAAGACGTGTACTCAAAGGAACAAATGTGATGGTCTAGTTGCTAAGTAGCAACAGCAAACTTATCAGCCCTCCTATTCAGCAATCTAGCAACATGGAACATAGCAGAACTGTTAAACCAAACACACACACACACACACACACACACACACACACACACACATATGTATGTATGTATTCTGTCCAAATTCTGGAAGCAATTAAAAAAGGAGTAATTTGAACATGTAATGCTGAGCAACACAGTAATTAATAGGATATTGGCCCCCCAAGATTTATAGGACCCTCTCTAGTCTTCCTCTTGTCACATACCTCACCACAGGTGAGACACCCTCAGGGCACTACTCACCCAGACCCCATTCTCCCTCCATTGTTGACCACCTTCCAGGTACTTGAGATCATGAAATTTCCCACTCAAATGCTGATCCCATAGCTCACTTCTAGGGCTTCATCAGGCATCTTCCCTAAGTCCATCCATTCAAGAGTCAACTGCATGTAGGAGGTGCATATTTCCAGGACCAAGAGGTGGCTTTTGGGATAGAGCTTGGTTATCAAGAACCATACTGCCCTCATATTTCTATGCAAGTATCCTTGTGGATGCAAGACTGAGTCAGGGTTTAGGAAGATAAGGGGATCTTCAGTTGCACTCTTGCTCTGGTATTCATAAAAACTAGTGGCAGGCCTGCCGCCAGGCACCCATACAAAGAAAAGCTAGAGAGAAATATAGAGGAAAGGTTCAATAGTAGGTTTTTGTTGTGAGGGGACTTATGAAAATTACAAAGGTATAAAAACATTTGGAAAATAAGCACTGTGAAAATTCAGTGAATCTAAAATCCCTAGTAAAACTGCAGTGCCGAATTATGCTATAAACCAGACTCATAGTGTTTTCCTATTAAGAAACGCTTCTGATTTAAGTTTAATGTTTCCCCATTGCTTGGGGTGAGATGGGGGGAAGTTGGAGGAGAGGAATAGTCAGAGATGGATGGCAAAGATTGGTGATAAGTTGTTACTGACCTGCAGAGTTTACAGCTTGAAAGAAAAACTGTAGGAGTTAAGATCCTCTTTCCTAGGAATCCATGCCATGCGAAGTTTAGGGATTGAGGTAGTGGCTGCTGATATGTGAAAATGGGCCTGTAAACTTTGCAAGCGATCCAGTAAATTATGCTTGTTCTAGTGGGACCTCCCCCCCACTCCGCCCCCATCCCTCCAACTCCACATTCCAATCCCCAGGCCAGAATCACCAAAGGTAAAAAATATTCATGGAGTATAAGCAGGCTGTAGCAAGACAGGCTCTTCAGCAGGCAATCTTTCCCTCCTCCCACATGATGACTGTCTTTCTTGCCAGTTCCCTAGGCAGAGCCTTCACTTCCCAGTCAGCCGCCCTTCCCCAAGTGAAGTGACTTCTTATAGAACACAGTTACCCATGTTGTCTGCCAAACTGGATTTTGTTTTATTTTGTGCTGAACGTCAGCCCCATTTCCACGACTCTGCAATTATCACAATATGTGGTAGGAAACCGTTATTGTCAGCTCCAGTCTGAAACGGGCCACTTACCAATACCCTGCCAGGAACAAGTCTTTCCGGATGGATACTATGTGGTTAACAGAACATGTAAAGATAAGCAGCTAAACAAAATATCAACATTTTCTTACAAGACTGAGCTTCAGGACAAAAAAGTGATGTGCAATGGTTTTCATGTTGTATCCACAAACAAATTCTGCACAATTACAAGAAACGCTCTTTTTTTTTTTTTTCTTTTTTTAATTGTTGCTTAAGTGGTTATCCGTTATGCTGTTGACATAGGAAAAGGCGAAATGCTAGTAACCGAATCAAAGCAGCAGTGCAACAGGCTGCTCGGTGGTGCGCATTGCATGGGTTGGCTCCTTGGATGGACAGACTTGCTTTACACTTCCTCCCAGTTTTTGTCCCACCCTCTTAGTGTATCTATCTTCCAGGGAATGGTAAAACAAACCAAAACATACTGGTCTTACTTCAAGCTGTCTTTGGACTGTTATTCCCTTGTTCCACTCATTTCACGGGATTGGGTTCTCCTAACTTCATTGTTCGGTGAGTGGCTTTGCTTTCCTCATTGCCCCAATCTTCTGTACATTCTGCGCCGACCCCTCCAGTGCTCCTGCACTCGCTCCCAGCACTCCGCTGGGGCTTAACACTTCCCAGCCGAGGTCAGACTGCCTTGTGCGCTTGGAGTACCGGACCCCAAGGAAGCCAGAAACACCTCTCCTGCCGGTCGCGGGCAGCTCCCGAACACAAGCACCCCGCGCGCCTCTGCCCAGTACGGCGCCCAGTGGGTGCTCAGGCTCCTTCTCCGGCGCGCCCTAGGGACTCGGAACGCCCCCGCAAAAGTGACGCGTCCTGCCTCCCCGGCAGCTCGCGGACACTCACACTTGCAAGGCCCGGCCAGCACTTGTGGGCCCGTCCCCCGCCCCCGCCGCCATGGTGCGGGGGCGGAGACGACGGCTCCCCTAGCCTCTGGCTCCAAGCCCCAGCAGGCGCCGGTAGGCGGGTAGGCGCGGGAGCCTCGAGAGCGCTGCTCGGATGCAGCAGCCGAGCCACCACACTGCGCGCGGCGGTAGACCCAGGACCAGCCGCCGTTGGCGCGCTGGGTGCGGGAAGAGGACTCAGTATTTCCGTCCCTCCCCTTTTTCCTCTGAGTCTCCGAACGCTCCCGCTCTCAGACCCTCCTCCTCCCAGGTAAAGGCCGGGAGAGGAGGGCTCATCTCTTTTCCAGGCACCCCACCATGGGCAATGCCTCCAATGACTCCCGGCCGGAGGACTGCGAGACGCGACAGTGGCTTCCCCCGGGCGAAAGCCCGGCTATCAGCTCCGCGATGTTTTCGGCGGGGGTGCTGGGGAACCTCATCGCGCTGGCGCTGCTGGCGCGCCGCTGGCGAGGGGACGCGGGGTGCAGCGCTGGCCGCAGGTGCTCCCTCTCCTTGTTCCACGTGCTGGTGACCGAGCTGGTGTTCACCGACCTCCTCGGGACTTGCCTCATAAGTCCGGTGGTACTGGCTTCATACGCACGGAACCAGACCCTGGTAGCACTGGCGCCCGAGAGCCGCGCGTGCACCTACTTCGCTTTCGCCATGACCTTCTTCAGCCTGGCCACGATGCTCATGCTCTTTGCCATGGCCTTGGAGCGCTACCTCTCGATCGGGCACCCCTATTTCTACCAGCGCCGCGTCTCGCGCTCCGGGGGCCTGGCCGTGCTGCCAGTCATCTACGCAGTCTCCCTGCTCTTCTGCTCGCTGCCGCTGCTGGACTACGGGCAGTACGTCCAGTACTGCCCCGGGACCTGGTGCTTCATCCGGCACGCGCAGACCGCTTACCTGCAGCTGTACGCCACCCTGCTGCTGCTCCTCATTGTCGCGGTGCTCGCCTGCAACTTCAGTGTCATCCTCAACCTCATCCGCATGCACCGCCGAAGCCGGAGAAGCCACTGTGGACCTTTTTTGGGCAGTGGCCGGTGCGGCCCGGGGGCCCGCAGGAGAGGGGAAAGGGTGTCCATGACGGAGGAGACGGACCACCTCATTCTTCTGGCTATCATGACCATCACCTTCGCCGTCTGCTCCTTTCCTTTCACAGTAAGTCACTCCCTACGTTTCCATAGCCTGGCTCTGCTCAACCTTCTCATGATTTCCCCTGATGCCCCCGCCCTTTCCATTGCCCTACAAACTTTTTGCAACTTGTAAAAGTATGTCCTAATTTGTAAAGATCTATAGCCTTCCCCACTCGCTTCTCCTCTTTAGCCCACTTCCTTCCTCCCTCAATCCTGGCTTATGGGCCTTGCTAGGCTAGAGTTTCTTATACAGTAATACAGACCGTCCGAAAGGGAGTCCTGGGCCTTGGCTAAGCCAGCCAAACTCCTCATCCTAGCCCCGTGCAGTGTCCCTTTCTCACTGTTGCCTATCTTGGCTTAGTAATTGAGAAAGAGGCAGCCCCTTCCACCTTAGGATGGCTGTCACTGTTCCAGCCTGACTATATGGAGCTGCGGTTTGCTGCCCTGTACCTCTTACCCACTGATGCTGGCTCACTTGCCTTCTGTTCCTGCCAGGGCAAAATGTAGTACCCAACCCAAGCATTCCAGCTGCCACTGAAAATGGTCCCAGATGAGAAGGGTCCCTGTTGCAGAAGTTTAGAGATTTGCTTAAAAGTCGAACAAACATCTAGTTTATAAGTTTCCTAATTTATATTTTTGATTGTAACTCTTTGTGGCCATGAAAATTTTAAAACTATAATGATAACTAAAGGAAATGTTTGGAGGAACGCCTTGCTAAGCCTTTGTCATCTCTTGCAAAACACCCTCTTAATGTCACTGTCAGAAATACACCCAGGTGATCTTCTGCTTACAGTCATGCACTTGATGAATACAAAGTCACATGCAGGAATGGCTGGTCCATCTCAGGAAGGGGAGAGTGGGGCTACCTGGGGAGCTGAAGGACAGGAGCCCAAGTCCTGGCATCGTGCTGCCTTGCTTTGGGGCAACTTTAGCAGTTAGTTGGTGCTAACTAACTGCTAAATGATATTATGCTGTGAGTTTGAGTCTCTTAAAGTGTAACCTTTTAGCTGAGCCTGAAATATGTCTGAGAATGTGCTGGCCTCTTACTGGGGCTAGGAATTGGGAGTTGTGACAACTCCACTTCCTAATCTTCAGAAGAGCAAGGCTGACGCTGCAGCATCAAAGGAGTTAACAGTGACCCTCACCTGCCACAATCTTGGATAAAAGAAAAGAGATGGGCAGTGCCTACTATTAATAGGTCTGACCTGTAAAAGCTGGAGGAGAAGTAACTTTTTCCTATCTCCTGCCTCCATTACTGCTTCTTATATCTTCATGTGCTCATCCTCCAGGATGGGAAAGGACACAGGGTCCCAAAAACCTGAATATGATTCTCTCCACCCCAGCACAGTTAACTCCCTTTCTTAGCTATGTTCTCTTCTCCCTGCTCCCCACTGCCCTCACCCTTCCACCCCATGCTTTGTCAGGGCAGAAACTGTTCTGAATTGGTAAGTTAAACTTTGAGGGAATGAGATGGAATATTCAAAGACGCCCTCTTATAAAACGAAGTCTGACTGTGGGAGGCTTCATCTCCCATACACTCTGAGCACGAAAGTTTGTGCAACAGAAACGCTGTGATGTAGAAACCCACATGGCTTATATTCTTTTAACTTATTTTACAGGTAGAAGCTTTTGATTACATTAGGAGCTAAATCAGCTTCTGGAGGTCAAGACTAGGATGCAGAACATATATCTATGAAAGAAATCATTTCAGGTTCCACCAAACAGCTTTACATTCAGCTTGGGGAACAGAAACTATTCCTGAAACACTGTCTTACAGTGGTGGGAATTAGGATATCAGTTCTTAGAGTTTTACCTGTCATTTGTGAGTACATTTATAAAAATATCTGCACGCCCCCCTCAGCTACTTAAATACCCTGGGAATGGGCTTGGGTTGATAACGGACTTGCAAAAATGATTTTTAGTCTCTTTCCTACATGAGCAAGAGTAAAAAGGTCTCCTCTTTGACCACGGCTGACCCACTGCATAAACTGTATTTTTTTTAAATAAAGGCAGTGGTTTCCAACAGCTTTCCCTGTTTTCAGGTTTCCCTGTTTTATCATGAGAACTCCATCACTGCCATATGTTTTTGTAAATTCAAATGTGTGTGTGTAGAGATATAGATATAGATATATAAATTTTTTGCCCTCCTTCAGTTAATATTAGGCTAAGGGCTGCTTCGGAGTTGCCAAATAGAAGGGACTTAGAGATAGAAGTCTGGCTAAAAGTTTTGAGGGAGTAGGAGCTTTGTTTTAAAGCTATATTTTTATTTAGATTTCCTGTTTGTGGCTTAGGGGGACCAGATGAAGACTATGAAGGGGCTTTAGCTCCCCCAAGCCACCCCTTAGCATTAACACTATCAGCAAATATTTTTTACTTTTGCATCGGCATATATTACAGCAGAGATTCCCAAAGAGCCAGAGAAAATCTCAGTGTGAACATAATGAAAAAGCCAGCCTCCCTGACTTCCTTTCTTGGAACTACCGTGACACCATATCCAGATGAACTAGACACAAAGTGGCAATTTGAAGCATTGCCACCTCTTATCAAGAAAATTTATATTGACCACTGATGCGTTTTATTTTGTCAATAGATTATGGAGAATGATTGCTGGCATCTTTCATTTACATAGCACTTCAAGCTTTACCAAGCTTTACTATCTTGATTTAAGTTATTTCTTGAAGGGCTTATCAGAAAATTCAAGCTCACGGCTACTGTTTAGTTCATACACTCTGCTGTTCAGAACCCTTGGCGTGTGCCTCCAAGGGAGGTTGCTTTTTTCTCCAAGGCCTTTTATTCTACTCGGCCCACACTAAAACTGTGATCAGAAGTGGCCTACTCCAATCCCTCACCTGAGGCAGGATCATTTCCACAAGTCCACATGTCTGTTTCTCCAAGGGAGTGCACATGATCAGATAGAAACCACAATGCAAGCCACAAATGGAATTTTAAATTTTCTAGTAGTCACATAACAAAAGGTAAAAAGAAACAGGGAAAATTAATTTAATTATATATTTTATTTAACCCAATATATCGAAATTATCAATTTAAAATGTTACTTATGTAAAAGAATTATTAATAAGCTATTCCAAGAAAGTCTCTTCCTTGTGTCCCAGAAAATAGTAACAATCTACCCCAAGTCTTCCCAATCCTTCCACAGGATAACAGGCTGCTTTCTATGTCCCTTAAAAGTCAACCAAACCACTTGCAACAAGGAGAGCTGTACACAGTGGGACATAGTCTATTCCACAACACTCCAGTAGTGGAGAGAGGAGGGGAATGGGTAAATTCAGAAACCTGGAACTACTAATGTCAGGCATTGTCCCAGGGTTTGGGCAGGTTGGAATTACTGCTTCCTTCAAAGATGTCAGTCTAGGGCGTCCAAAATTTTGGAGGTAAAATTGTAAAAAACAATTTTTTTAAAGGCCCAGTGCCCTCAAGTGAAGTCAAGTTCAACCTCATATATCATTATTATCAACTCCAAAATAAAAATGCTAGTTTTTACATTAATCCATTATCTTCACAAAACCACAGGAAATAGTAAGATGATTTCTACGGAATAGATGAGGCAAATGACTCACCCTGTGTTCCACAGCTTGTGGGTGGTGGAACTGGGATTCAAAGCTAGGCAGTTTAAGACTGAGCCACCGAACCTAACCCTAACACTATCCAAGAGAAAGTACTCATTTCAGGGGTAACAGATGAGAAGATTAATCTAGGATTTCTTAAGAGAACTGTGAGAATGTTATAAATATTTGGACCACTTTGCCTCTAAATTCCAACTAGTTAGCTTTAAAAATAAAATGGCAAAGACCTTTTTTCTTCATGTCAGCTCAAGGGAGCTGAGCCAGGGCCAACTATGTGGTTCCCTTTCTTTTCTCCACAGACCTATGAAATAAAAAGCCGAGACCCAGATTCTAGGAGATTGGCTAATGTAAATTCTGGTCTAAATTAAGAAATAATCAGATTATCCCTCACATAAAATCTTTCATCGGAACACATAAAACATCTCTTAAGTGATCAAAAACCATGTGGTGTTTGGGAAATGACATTATTTTGGCTGTCCAATATGAAATTCTGCATGGAACCAACAACATACTCTAAACTGTTTATTCAATAAAGAGATATTGTATAAAGTAATAAATTCCTCCTTATGCTAATCAACTATTGTCATCATTTTACAGAGATTAATAAGAAACTTTCTTTCTTCCCAAATGGAACAGAACACAGGAAATATAAGAGACCCCTATCTTGCCTCAGATACTGTTTGTGCCTTCATATCCAACTCATATCAAGCCCCTTTCTCACCACTCTTCTAATAGTAGACATCTTCTGGCCATTTGAAACTGCTTTCCACATGCCATGAGGATAAAGTGCTTATGCATTTTTATTCAGTTCTAAAATTTCAAGAGTAAACCATTGACTCATTCTAAAAAGTTCTCCATCTTTAGAAATTCTTTAGGGTTATAACTTCTAGGTAAATCTGATTAGTGGAAATCTGATCTTTGCAATACAAAACAAACTCAAGTAAACAGTACTAGAGCTTCCTGTTCATTTCTGGTACTTGTTATGTAAAATATAACATGAATGGCGGTTGAAAAGCTGATATGACATTGGTAGATTACATACATGCAAAATATAATAATCCTGGTAGGAATGAAAAAGAACTCCAGAAATCTCTACGTATAACCACAATGAACTTTGCCTGATGATATTTTAAGTTGATGTCCACAAACAACTGGAAGGTCCTTTATAATTTAAGCATCAATAATGATGTGTTTGGCGATTTGTTGAGACAGTTTTAATATACATTATTATTATTATTATTATTATTATTGAGACGGAGTCTCGCTGTGTCACCCAGGCTAGAGTGCAGTGGCATGATCTTGGCTCACTGCAACTTCCGCCTCCCAGTCTCAAGCGATTCTCCTGCCTCAGCCTCCCAAGTAGCTGGAATTACAGGCAGCCACCACTGTGCTCATGCCTGTAATCCCAGCACTTTTGGAGGCCAAGACAAGTGGATCATGA